TATATTATTTTATACCGTTTCTTACCACATGTCTGTCTTTTTTCTTCTTTTTAAATAAAAAAGAAACCTCTGAACCCGAATAAATTGATCTTGTCGGTCGGAAAGTTGAGACTTTACTGTCTCTTGTAAGTGCAGCGCGTGCACCACGAAGTCTTGTAGCGCGTTCGTGAGCACGAAGGGTCAGTAGCCTCGGGCGTGTTTGTAGCGAACGACTCCGTGGCCTCACAAACTGGTTTAGCAAAAGTCAAGATCTAGATCGCGACCTTCTTACAACCGTTCACGACTTTACGCGAGCCCGCTCGGCATCTTAATACGAGTATGCGCGTAACGAACGAAGTGCTATTAACGGCGATACGAGGGAGAGAGTGGGAGTGTTTTGTTTCCTATGCCAACAAACACCGTTTAATATTAATGAATACGTCGAAAGCCGTACAATTTTGTAAACAACGGTAACGGGCTTGTATTTGATTTTCGTCGTATCAAATGTATGTATCGCGAGAATAGATAAATATAAACGCGCGATTAACTAAGAATACAAACATAGAATTTACTCCGATTAAATTCTATTTACATAATGATTAAATACTGGTATTATATATTTTAATGATAGAGAAATGTTTCAAAAACAGATGTTAATCCAGATAATTTACATAATCGCAGATAATTTACATCAACTACAGAAGATTAACCAAAATATATTAATCTAAATTAATATGTTATCAAATTAATCTGTCATTCATCCTACATCGCTGTTAATTTTCAAATAACTACAACACTGAATGATGCTTAATAGGCTTAAAGGAATTACCGTTAATGATTCCGCTTGCTGTTCACAATATCGTTGCGAAGATCATTACGAAAGCAGCTGATTAGCAATATATAATACTTCTGCCTCTCGGCATATTTTCGCTCTCTCTTTATTTTTCGTTAAAATACATATATAATTCAATTGCGTCAATATTCCTGTAAATCAATCAATCAATTATTATAGAACTTTCCAAACTCTCTCTCTTTCTTTCTCTCTCCCTCTCTCACCCTTAATTGCTTATTTTGTTTGGCTGACTACGTGTTCTACGAAATATAAATAAGTTCACGCAGGCATGAGAAATCAAATCGTTAAGATATCCTCTCGTAGTGATTTATAAGTTAATAATCAATTACAAACTACCAACTACAACGTAAATCAATCAGCCGAGCTACGTTCCTGCAAATGGTACGATGCATTTTATCGCGACAAACAACTTGTACGTTACTTCGAATAGTAATGGCGCATTATGTTTGTTACTCGCACCGCGTTAGCGACATTTACGACTTCCGCGCGACACTTCCGTCGTAAAATACGACCGCGAAGTTACACCTGTGTTCGACAAATCGTTCTAATTACTCTTTACATTAATAGTAACATGTTAATATCAACGGCTTGCCGCGCGCGTAACAAACAACGCGTCAAGTCTTTGCGGCAATTCAATTCGCAGCCATGTCATACGTCCTTCATGACAGTCGCAAAATATTCGCATCGTTACGAGCGTGTCTGACACTTTTGACGAACATCCGCCGCACGATTAAGCAGCACGACCGTAAATTAGCAATATAAAGTCGCGCTCTGCACGCAATTTTATCGTACCAAACATTTTTATGACTATATATAATGGGATCAACATCTTAAATAACACTGATTTTCGACGCGTTGATCAAATCTCCCCTTTTTAATTCCTCTGTGATTATTA